CCGCAAACAGCCATCCCGCAAAAAAGCGGCGTAACTTTACCACTTGAAACACAAAACATCTGGCACCACAGTAAAAGTGGACAACACTTTTTCAATCGTTCTAACCGCTTAGGCAAGTTCTTCTTGTAAACTTAGCCTGATGAACTTGCTGGGTAATATTGCCGGAAACTTTGCCTGTAACGACCGATCACCAGCGGTGATCTGGCTTACAGTGTTGTACGTACATAGCATTTATTATTTGGCACCACAGTATTTTACGAACGGGCATCGTGGGCCTTCTTCCAACAGTTGGAGTTCATGACACTGTCAGAGCGGCATCCGCTCTCTATAGGATCGTTCGATAGAATATTTCATTCGATTTGTATGCTTTGCCGATAGCCTAGTGGTGCCTCTCTCAGCCTTAGAGTATGGAGGTTGTGGGTTCGATTCCCTCAATCGGCAGATTTTTTGCGAGTGTCTGTGCGAGCCTAGCCCAGCCCTGACAACACCGTGCTATACTGGACGAAAAATAACGCATTACTGCAAGAAAACCTAGAGGAATCAATTTAGCTCCGTCGTTAAGCAGCCACTGCATTTTTTTCAGTATAAAAAATTGAACTTTTCGTATAGGTTTTCTGAGCAGTAATCTGGGATAAATGTTGTATAATGTATACCATTTGTACCTGAGCTTTTTCTTTTTGGATACAAAAAAATGTGGTTCTCCCCACGCAGACAATATGCAAAATAAATTTCACAGTATAAAATTGTAAATTGCATTAATCTATTGATTGGATTGTTTCTTTCGATTGCAACGTAATGATTCCAAACTAACGCCGGCAGCAGCCGGCATTTACCCTAACCATATGCATATGGATGACGCTGGTTAAAGGTTGGCGTACTGTTGACAGCCATCCCTGACATTCGATGCAGATGAAACAACAGTTCTTGAAACTGCCAGGTTGACGCATTGCGCGATTCCAGCCAGTCCATACGGGATTCTCGGATTTCGTAGATGGCTGTCCAGTAGCCGCAAAGGAGCGATATTAACTACGTAAAAATAATGCATAATGTGTAACGGGGAAATGCCTAGTAAACGCTTCGTAGAATTACTTCATCGAAAGCGCGAATTACTATACAGTTTCCGTTACCGTAACTAAGAAGGGCTTCCGAATATAGAATAGTCCCATAGCGGAAATGGAACCATCCGTTTTACGGATTTGTTGCAGTAGCAGTTGGTATTCGTCGGCGATCTGCAGTTCCGGGTCTTCCGCAAGTACTTGCTCGATGGCACGTTCCACGCCCTGAGGCTTCGAAATAAAATTCAATTATTATACCAACCATAAGTAAGATTAAACAAATAACTAAAGACACATAAATACTTAAATATTTAGCTACTGTGACAAAATTAGCGAATACCGGTATACCAGGGCACCTTAAGAAGAAGTTAAAAAACAGTTAAAACATTCGGGCACAGTTAAAGCTTTCGTATAATCCACATTCTTTTGGTGTTTGTGTTTATTGCGCTCAAAGTTCATTTCTAAATTTAGCTAAACGAACATAAGAAATACACATAAGAAATGAGCTTAATAAGCTTACAGCGGTGCCACAAACTACCAAGCCAATGAAGACCACCAGCGATCCGGCAACGGTCCACACGCCATTACTCGTAAACGACCAGAGAGTTGTATCAGACCGCACATTCAGATTGTCTCCAGCAATCCCCGTAAAGGCCACGGCGATCTCCATACATTCATACAAAACCATCACACCAAACGCTTCATCAACGGTGTGCACGGCATTGATGACCTTGCAGCACTGTCGTCGCATCTGATTAATATGCACCACTTCCACTGCTTTTCCACGTGAAAGTATCTGTCGTTGAATTATAACAAATTCTTTCCGCAGCGTCAACATTAAACCAGTTACGATGCCCACAGGAAGGGTGCGATTCAGCGCGCTGAGAAATTTCCAGAGGAAACCGACGACAAAGTCCACGATGAAGGGCGTGTGGAGGCGATACAGCGCAAACGAATTCCAAGTATTCCGACTGGAATCGGTCCAGGAAATTTCGCCCATCCAGGATATCTCGGAATGAGTATCCCAGATTGCTCCTGTCGCCGAATAAAGCAACACCACGAAAAGCAGAATCATCCATAGGGTTCGGTTTTTTAATTCCGACATTTTCAGGAAATTCATGGAGCGGTCGATTTTTCTGATATTTTTCTTCCGCAAGCAGATGAAGCACAGTATCATCCAGATCAGCCCGCGAAATAAGATGAAGTTTCCGTATAAAAGGTGTATGAGGAAGAACGGTTCCCCGGAATTGACGTCAACGCGGAACATCTCCAGGAGACGGGCGTAAGAGGCGGTGACAAATAGGATGTGGAAGGCGAAGAGAATTATAGTCCAGAGTCTTAGTAAGCAACTGCCGCATTGGCTGGACGAGTGAGGATGCAAACCGATGAATTGCAGCAGCCGAAGGTACGCGACCGAGATGCAGTACGGAGATGATGGCGTAAATGAGGACGTCATTATTAACTGGAGCGCTGGATGTTACAAAGCTACGTTAAAAAGCGGCAAAGTTTTGGGAGTGGATGGAGAGTAATAAAACTGATCATTCCTTGAAATAAACCTTGAAATGCGCATTTGCGATGTTGTTGCAAATATGGTTTGCCAACCTTTTATCAGTTGTCTAATGTTGGACGCTTTGATGCTCGACGACTGTAGTGTCAACTTGTGTCAATCAAACGACAAGGTTGAGTTACTGCACAGTTTGCACTTACATTATGCGACAGCAGGTTAAATACGCATTACATACGGCGACGTCACAAGCTCTTGCTTATTACAATTACTGTTGTTACTCTCAGGTTAGTAGTTAGGACAATCAACAAACTACAAAGCGTCTTTCAACATTGCCGATCGCTGTACCTGCAGCTCATACCCAATCAGACGTCGGTTTTTTAAAAAGGATTAAACATCTTCATATATTTTTTACCAGAAACTAAGCGTTAGAAGACCTGGAAGCTGTTGCTTTTCTGTATCGGCGAAATGTCGCGCTGCCGTACGCGAACCGCTGCAGTCTTAGTAACGCTCCAATTAACACGTCAAGACAATGTCTAATGCGGAACGTAGGAAGCAGTCTCCATGAAATTATAGGTTTTCGAATTATTTGCTCCGAAAAAATCGCATTTTGTCTGAGTTGCTTTTGTTTTTTATGCAATGCTTATCGCAATATGGTTTATGAAACCTGTGGTAAACTTTGAAAATTATTACTTTATGAAACAAATCGAAAAAATTGCATTTTGCAGGCGTTGACAGTAGTACTAGTACTGGCGCCGACGGTGATGCTTCTGGAAGTTTCCAAGCTTTTTTTATGCAACCATGCGCTAGAGCGTCTGCCAGTGCATGGCTGCCTGCCGTCTTAAAACGGGTACGGTACTACAGCGGCTGCAGCCGTCACGTGCGCCGCAGTGACGACTGCAGCCTGTAAAATGTGCGCATACAGTTTGCTGCCGTTGCTTTCACTGAACAGCCATAACGACGATTCTTTATTTTCATCAAACTTCAGTCACGATTAGACTGTTGTCTTTGTGTATCTCCATCATAACACAAGAAAATCCCTCATCCCTATTCCAATCAAAGGCAACATCATGAATGGGACATCGTTCTACTTTCGCAAACTGCACTCAGGTGCGCGCGCGGTGAACTATTGGAATACGGTGCTGGTGCAGCGCGATAACTGCCAATGGTGGCTGGGATACGTTCAAGACGTTGATGGTCCATACTTTTTCGTGGACTTTGATGCTGCTACAACCAAACCCCAGTGGGTTCATTCTAGCGCACTGTGGCCGCACCGCTTTCTGCACAGAATTCCGCAATCGCGCCAGGGCTTCTCTGCGCACGTAGCATTGCGGCCATCCGAAGGTGCACCGATGGTGTTTCGGCGCTGCACCATTATCCGCGATGATAATGATGTATTCCACACAGTACGCCTGGATGAGGACGATCCGGCGGCGATGAGTCGGTCAAGCAAGCGCATCGTGCTGCGGAACCATCTCAGCGAACAGCTGCCGCTGCCGGGTGATGGCGAAAATTTCTTCGGGCGAACCACCGGGTTCCTGTACAGAAAGTATGTTATCAGCTTTCCACTAGCTCATTTGTTGCCGGACGTGGGTTTCATCCCCACGTTCCTAGCCCATACGTGCCAGTTATCGTTTCCCCGGGCAGTCGAGTGTGTGATGCCAGCTGCTGGTTTTCCAAGCATTTTTTCGGGAGCGGTATGAATTTCACTTGCACAAACAGATCCCACTGGTCGAATGGTGAGGGATATCATCACATGGATATCGGTTGTCGACTGTACGCACGACTGGAAGCCAATACGGTCACTTTCGTTTGTGCCGAACTGCACTTAGACGCAGCCGGGCGTAGTACGTTCTGGAACGAGGATTCCCTGAAGAAAGCATGTGATAGCTATCTACGATATAGAATCACGGCAGCGCCTGCGTGCATGGAAACAACTCCACGGAATGTGCACCAGTTGGGTAAGGGTACCAAAACCTTTGCCAGTGTGAGATCGGGTTTGACGAGATCATGTGATTGTGGTGTAATCACCGATTAAAGTAGCAAAAGTCAACTTACACTTTAGAAACCCGAATGAATAAACAGAACAAACGCTGTCTTCCTCATGCCGCACTGATTAATTAATGTCGATAATCATACTGGTGAAAAAGATTACTTATTTTCGGCAGATATGGAGGAAATGTTCATTAATGAGCTTCCGCACCCGATAATGGATTGTGTATTGCGCTATCTCGATGTGGATTGTCAGTTGCGGACGAACAGGTAAATCCCAGGAATGTCATGTCATGTGATAAGGCTTTCGCTTATTCTCGAGATTGCGATAGGAATCCTATCGCAATCTCGAGAATAAGCGAAAGCCTTATCAATAACAATCAGGCTACGCCATATTGTTGATTAAAAATACTACCGTAATGTTTTGAAACTCAGGCTAGATTATTTATGATTTGTAATGGAAAAAGAATGTTCTGGACAGAAACGTCAGGTAACCAATTGTCAGTACTCAGGCTTAAACGACCGGATACGGGTTGCACCCTCAGACGTCTGGGCATTTTGGACGATTACTGGCGTTGTATGCTGCACATGCGACAGCTGCTCGATTTTAATAAATCATTATTCAACCGTTGTGTGGTTCTGTACTCTACCGTTGTATTGTTCTTCACCTGAGTATGTGCGCTGTGGAGGATCCTATCCCACCGTGACGTTAGCAACCGGCACATTCTCTGTGATTCTGCACAGCATGCGACAAGAAACCATACAATTACGATTTGGCATGGGAGTACGATAAGCGTGTTACGTACAAAATGGGAACCATGCTGCAGCGCATACATCCGCAGTACACGCGTACCGTGGCGTTGACGGAGCATCGGTATTGTGGTCACCCGGAATCCGGTTTCGCCAGAAGAATGTCGATAATCGCCAGACTAATGCAGCTTGAGGACCTGCGACTGCCCTTGGTTATTGTGAAGAACGGCCGGGATCCTGTGCAATACGCAAGTTCCTCCTTCCTGTCCATCCGACGCAAGCCCCGCAACGGTCAGTTGGATTCTCCTGGGCTGTCCGAACTTATGACCGTTTGCGACCGATTGGTGCTGGTTAACTTTATCGCGACGGCAACCATCATCGGATCAGCGCGGCAGTTAATGTTTCCATATGCTCCATCGCAGCTACCGGATTCCGAGATACCGTTCTTTCGCCTGAACCCTGCTTCGGACTGCTGTGAAGTCAGCATTCCCATTCTGCGTTTCAACTGTACGGACACGGCCGAGTGCCAGCGGCGAGCGCTTCTGGCAGCGGCTAACGCCCAGTGTCCGCCCGTCAGTCAGCGGGTGTTGGAAAAGGTCAAAGCAATTCATGCGCGTTGGGTGCGGACGTTCGGCTATCCGGATGAATGGGCGGGTATTCGAAATTTCTTGCAGGTGTAAGTGGTATTAAGACTTCGACAATCTGCAGTTCATTTTGTAATTTTTGGCACAGAGAAGCAAAGGGTGTGGCTTATAACCAGCCTTGCAAAAATTGAGAATGCCTCCTAACTTAATTTTGTTGCAATAGTGTCTGGTTACTGCCGTGATAATTATAAATTAAAACAAAGTTTAGGAAGCAAATGCTTCGGCTTTATGCATTTACATACTGGTACATCGGTGAAGATAAAATTAAAGAATGATTGATGTGCAGTGGTAGTACAGCAGGTACTATATACCTTGCATACAACTGTAGTAAGTTTGAGGCAAAAATTACCAAAATTAATGGACTGTACCGTCTGTACGCATGGCAAAAATGTCGAAGTCGGTCCGCGGCTCAAAATTTAATTCGAAGTTAATTGAATAATTACAAATTGTAGTACTGATTAAGTTAATCAAATAATTATGTAATGCTGAGGTCCCTTTCAATATTGAACTCTGTGCCTAACTGGAGCACAGTCAGACTTCAGTGCCCATCACATCCGCGCAGCACTGGTGCGAACAGAGAAGCCTTGGTTTCCGCAAAATGCGTTTCAACGAAGCGTCTACGTACAGCAATAAGAATATGTACTTTGTAGTTTGTACTCTGTATATTGAATGCTTTCTTATCATGCAGGTTTAATAATCTTAGCCCGGAAGACAATCCACAGCGATGGGACTCGATGGATCTCCGCCAACTGGACATCGCCTCGTTGAGCAATGCGACCTTTGCAGCTCTGAATGGATTCTATAAAGACTGAAGGAGACATGAACAGAATTATCGATCTACAGATTATGTTCTCGTATTCATTAACTCATGACAATATTTGCTTACTTAAATTAAAGCACACCCTTTACACAGTTATAGCACACAATTTCTTTTGTATTTTAGTGTTGATTAATTCTTCGTGAAAGTTCTTTTGTTGTTGTTGGCTGCATCCTTGCGATTTCGTACATGGGTCTCATCGACATGAACAAGAAGAAGAATTTTCTTCGCGCCTTTTCTGATTTTTGAAGCCTGGTTTTAAGACTCACTGGGAGCTTCCAGATTTCTGGTGTCCGAATCGTGCGGGATGCGACATGTACTGTGAGTGGTTGTGACAGGTGTAACAGGCAAGCGCGAGGAGATCACGAGTGCTCTTTATTGACAAATAAAGGGGGAACAATACTGCGTAATAGCAGGAAAGCAAAACAAAGCACTGATGGCTAAGCAAGCAAGTGAATGCTGAAAAGGGCTCTTGAGCGTTCGCCAAGGCGTGAAAAAGCAACTGGCGGCAAGCACGTGCTGTGTGCCATCAGCTGTGTGTTGATGCGCAGACTGGACTCAATCCAACGCGAGCGTATGAACGCTGAGTCATACTGCGAGAGAGGGACGAGAGAGCAAGTATGCTCAGTGTGTGCGCCGCGTATATCCGCTTCAGCGGATATGAGTGCAGTGCAGCAGCACACGTACGTACAGCGAGAGAGGCGATATGGCAAGCATGAGTGCAAATACGTCCATGGTGGGCCGTATGCACCAGGCGCAGTCATGTGCCTCTGACATGCCTCTGGGCGGGAATCCGAGCTCCTGCGAAGGATGCTCCGACTCGGTACCGCACCAGTACCGCACAACTCTCCAGTCGGACCCAATGTGGGGTCGCTGGTACGCGTCCTCTGGCAGTGGGAGTCCGGTGTCTGGTCGACCGTCCCGTGTTCACTTCCGGACCCATGAGTGGAAGCCACTCACGGCCGAAAATCCAGAAGCCGCTCGGGCGTTTCGTTGGACCGGTGATGCTTCTGTTGGCTGGCTTCTTGCTTCTGTTGGCAACGGAGAACAATGTGAAAGAAAAATGTGATGAAAGTTGTATACAGCGCGAAAGAAAGTATGAAATAAAGTTTAATCACAATTCCAGTGAGCAAAAAAAAAGGGGTTACAAAAACAGATCTGTCAAAGAGATCGAACTAGAAAAATACAATTCCGTTTGTTAGGAGAAGTGCTATAAGAAAATGCAAAAATCTGTCCGGGGGTCCTATTCCGACTAGGATGACGTCCACGGGGCAGTTGAGTCTCCACGGGGCCTCCTTGTCTAATTTCATCCGGTAAGTTGGGTCCGGGGCATCAGTTCCCGGGGAACCCGTCGTAACCGGTTAAGTTCGCCGAAGTCGGATAAGCACGGTTAAACACCTACTTCCGACTCGTATCCGTCCATCAAGGATAGAGAGGCACTGTTGCGGTTGCAAATGCCGAAGCATCCTCTCTGAAGGGGGAATAGGACCGAGGTCGGTTTGACCAAGGTCGGCCTACCAGAAAGTCGACCGGCGGCTAGGAAAATTCGGCTATGTTCCGAATTCTTAAAGTTCAGGTCGGAAAAAGCTGTATGTAAATCATGCGGCCTGTGTGGTCGTCATGTACAGCAGTTCCGTTCAAAAGGTGGTCGGTTACAACCGTTCAATCTGCTACCACGAGCCTAGTTTAGGGTAATCCGAGTCGAACTGGCTCGAAGGTCCGGTCGGAATTCATGGGTTTCTTCGGCGGAAGTGTCAAGTCGACTTCCATCCAATATGTTCCGTTGTTACCCGACCTTCTGTCGAGGTCGGTCATCCTATCCGCTGGTGGTCGACTAGGGTTAACCTGCAATAACATGCCCATGTAGGGCTAAACAAGTTCCTTCGAGTCGAATTCGTCCACCGCAGACAGATGTCAATCTTCTTCCGTCGTGTTGACCAAGTTGCCGACTTCCGACATGTGGTCGGTTATGGTCGACTCCGGGAGGTCGGATGAACTATGTTTCCATCCATCCGAAGGTCGGATTTTTCCGTTAGGAGGTCGGTTCTCGACTTCTAAATGCCTTTGCCGACTTGTTGTCGTACCCTCCCGACTTCTATGCGGTCGCTTCCGACCTTGGTTTGAGGTCGGATATCCATATCCGAGTTCAGAGGTTGGTTATTTTCCGACTTCCCCAGGTCGGATAAACTTTGTGTCTACCCGCCGGGAAAGTAAGTTCTTCCACTGAGAGGTCGATTTCCTACGTCTAGTTGGTTTTCCGAGCTGTTGTCGCTTACTTCCAACCTCCATCTGGGGGTTGTCAACTTCATTTTAGGAGTTCTGTGCGTTCGGCTACTGTTGGCCGGGTCCTTGGTGTCAGGACATCCTACGGTCAGTTCGGACTGGCAGAAGGATGTTCGGCAGCACAACTCCGTTCCTTCTGTGGTTTCTGACGTGAACTCCAGGTCGGATCCGAGCTACTGTTGAGGTCGGTCGATCCGAATAACTTGCTTCTGGGTCGCCATAATAAGGACAAAAGGATCATAACAGTGTGCAGTCGTTTTCAAGTTTTCGATGAAATCTTCAGTGCTTAATGGTGATGTCAGATAACCAGGCACAAGGGTTCCCCGACTGGTTTTCTCGGTATTCTGAACAGCCAGCATATCTCTGTCGCGAAGATTTAGTAGGACTCCTATCCGTCCGTTGTCAGTGTTGACCGCTAGCCATGTTCCACCGTGCTGTCCATCTCTTCCGCCAATGATACGTCCGTACGGTTCATCCCATCGGTGTATGCGCAGTGACGGTCTGGCGAAATATTCGTCGCGGTTTGAGGCCAAACAAATGCGATACGGATTTTTAGCTGGATCTTTATTTATAGCGATAAAGATGACACACATTTCCACTACTGCCCTTCTGCCGCGATTTTTATAATAAGTCAAAACATTACGCTTTCAACTTCGGCGGTGTCGAATGCCAACACCTTCGAAACAAGAAATCGTCTAAATGGAAACGGTACATGCTGTACACATATCTATATATTTGCAGATATATCTGCACAGCTGTTTTATTACCACCTCCGCCACCCCCACCTCCACCACCACCAACGCATCCCTCTCTGTACCCGGTTCCGGCTTTAGCACCACCACACCCAACGCTAACTGGTCACCCAGTCCTTAATGCCAACTGGAATGAATGGATTTCCTCAACATTCGGCACCGCTCTATCAACCCACCGTATCGCCGCTCCATATTTATTCTCCGGTTACATCTCCCATACCCTTGCCGATCACCCAACACCCCGTTGTTTTGGAAGCCAGCAGTCAGCATGCAACATTCGCGGGCACGAATCAACCATCGTTAGGGCAAAGGCAAAGCAAGTCTATCGCTTCTGGCACTGCCGCTCCCAGGTTTGACTTAGTATAATCATATTGCGACCAATCCTTGGTAACGTTGTTTTCAGGTCGCGGCCAAATAGCCGTCAAAGCATAAATGTAGAAAATGCTTCAGTGCCACGTCCTGCTGCATCTGCTAGAGAGCAGAGCCCGGAGATTCTGGAAGTCATTGGACAATCACGACGACAATCATCACCAAAACGAAGAAATCCTGTTAATCGCGAGCCGGTAAGGGCGTTTCAAGGGGTAATGGGGTTGCTTTGACAGATGAAACACATGTTCATTCTTTGGTACAGTCGAAATCAAAACAGAAACCCGGCAGGAAACGTCCCCGAAGGACGGTAAGAAGACAGGAGGATGATTCGGACTCGGATTCCTATACAGTACGGTTTTCTCCCACTTTCGTCCCCTTCCGTCCCCTTACGTCCACTTTTACTTAACTGTCCATTTTTTGTAAACTTTTTTCTTATTAGTAAGTGCTTCTGCTAGCAAGTTTTTTATCATGTTGCAGGTTAGTTTGTCGTCAAGCAATGAGGATTCTGACGGAGATTGGACATCCGTGCGAGCCAGGCTGATAAAAGACGCTCGCAGCAAGAAAAATCACAACGACCGTGCTTCAGCTTTCGTTAAAGCGGAATACGCCATTGATACACCCAAGGAGTTTTCCGTAGATCCTGTGTCCGGCAGCAAGAAAGTAAAAGTTCCGTATCGGCGAGGATACAAAAGTCTCGAAAGCCTCAACCTGAGTGGACGAACAATGCAAAAACTGCGGGAAGTGCCCTGGGATTACAACTTGCCCGATTTAAGTGATGACGAAGAGCGTGCAGCTATAAAACAAGCTCGAGCAGCTGAAGTAGACGCAAACATACCAGACGAGGTTGACAAGAACGCACCAGAAAGCAGCAGCGGAATAAAAGCTAAAACTTTTCGGTGTTATTTTTGCAAAAAGCTTTTCTCCGGCAACAACAGAAATTACCAAAATTGTTTACGACACACGGGAGGTGGAATGGATGGCACCAAAAAACGTTATCCTTGCGACTTCTATTTGAGTCAAACTTTTCCTGGTCGCAAGAAAAAGACGTTCCACAGCAGAGCAGAAACAGGAATCCGCAACCGCGTAATACACGTTTATCAAGATGGAACGGAAGTAGAAAGAGACTGCTTCTGGGACTTGCCATGCTGGAGCAGCACCCACCACGCTGCTTCAAACAGTGATGAACCCGAGCAGTGATGTCTGGCAACAAACAAGTCTTAAGTGTTTTTATAAACAATCTACTTTATGCAAAAATGGCTCGATTGTGCATCTGCATTCAAATAATAAATCAGTCCGGTAGTCGATTAATTCAAGCAAATTACGATATGAGAAATTATAGACCGAATCGGGGTGTGCAATCGGGCAACATCATCTGCGCATTTTTGCGCAGCTGTGCTAATGGTCGTTCGGATGGTCAGATCGAAGTGCAGTTATCTTTGTGATTGTCTCAATTTTTGTCTGACCGCCATGAATTCCCACGCTCGTTTCAAAAATGGCGTCCTATGTTTACGCCCTCTTGAATGCGGATTTGTTTCTTGGTGGACTCGTCACCGTATCCGAATTTAAAAAGGCCATCTTTTATGTTGGAAAATCGTCCGAGCGTCCTTATTACGACAGGCCGCTGCAACACCTAAAAAATGCAACCCGGAAGAACGAAGTAATCGCAGATATCCCCATTTTTTTGTGCATTTGGGTCGATGTTTTTATGTTGCAGTTAACCAAGAAAGCCGTAAAGATCCGTTCTATTTTTCGAAGGCGAAAATCAGTGATCGTGGTGCGTACGTGGCAGAAGAGTTCCAGAGAAGATGCTTTTACAAAGGAAGCGA